CCAAGTCTTTATTAGAGACAAAATGGTGCACATTCAAAAGACGGTGTTTCCGAAGGTTAAGAAAAGAGTGTTTGGGAATGTTGCATTCTCCATCTTCGTCTTCCAGGTACTCCAGCATCAGTGTGGGGAAGCATTCTTTTTATTTTTTATTTTTATTGTTGAAAGTATTACAAGTGTTCCCCATCCCCTTTCCCCCAATGACCACCTTCACCTCATGACTATTCTGTAACAACCAACTTGTACTTCCTAACCTCTACATCTTTTTTACCCATCCCCCAAACCTCCTCCCATCTGGCAACCAACAAAAAGTTCTCTGTATCTACGAGTCTGTTTCTGTTCTGCTTGTTCATTTTATTTGTATATTCAATTGTTGATAGATATGTATTTATTAAGATTTTATTGTTCATATTTTTTTATCTTTTTTTTTTCTTCTTAAAGAACATCTTTTAATATGTCATATAACACTGGTTTGGTGGTGATGAACTCCTTTAGCTTTTTCTTATCTGGGAAGCTCTTGATATGTCCATTGATTCTTTTTTTTTAATAGAGTAGGAGGGAGAGAGGGAGGAAGAGAGAGAGAGAGAGAAACATCGATGTGAGAGAGACACATCGAGTGGTTGCCACCCACACGACCCCAACCAGGGCAGGGGACAAACTGCAACCAAGGTACGTTCCCTTAGCAGGAACTGAACCCAGGTCTCTCTGGTCCACGGGCCAATGCTCTAACCACTGAGCAATCTGCCAAAGCAGTCCATTGATTTTAAATGATAGCTTTGCAGGGTAGAATAATCTTGGTTGTAGGTCCTTGCTTTTCACCTCTTCGAATATTTCTTGCCACTTCCTTCTGGCCTGCAAAGTTTCTTTTGAGAAATCTACTGACAGTCTTATGGGAGCTCCCTTGTAGGTAACTAACTGCTTTTTATCTTGCCAATTTTAACATTCTTTGTTTGTCTTTAACTTTTGCATTTTAATTATGATGTGTCTTGTTGTGGGCCTCTTTGGGTTCATCTTGTTTGGGCTTCCTAGACTTGTATGTCTGTTCCTTCACCAAATTAGGAAAGATTTTGTGATTCTTTTTTCAAAAAAAATTTCAATTTCTTGCTCTCTCTCTTCTCCTTTTGGCATCCCCATGATGCAAATGTTGTGTGCTTGAAGTCGTCCCAGAGACTCCTTACACTATCCTAACTTTTTTGGATTCTTTTTCTCTTAGCTGTTCTGATTGGGTGTTTTTTGTTTCCTTATATTCCAAATTGATGGTTTGATTCTCGGCTTCACCCACCCTACTGTTGATTCTCTATAAATTATTCTTTGTTTCAGTTAATGCATTCTTCATTTCTGACTGATTCCTTTTTATGCTCTTGAGGTCCTCACTAAGTTCCTTGAGCATCCTTATAACCAGTATTTTGAACTCTGCATCTGATTGATTGCTTATCTCCATTTTGTTTAGTTCTTTTTCTGGAGTTTTGTTCTGTTCTTTCATTTGAGACATGTTTTGTTGTTGTTATTGTTTTGTTTTATTTTGTTTGTCTTCTCATTTTGGCAGCCTCCCTGTGTGTGTGTCTATGTATTAGGTAGAGCTGCAACATATTCCAGGCTTGGTAGGGTTGCCTAATGTAGTAGGTGTCCTGTAGGGTCCATTGACACAGCCTCCCTGATCACCCCAGCTGAGCACTTAATGTGCACCCCCCAATGTGAGCTGTACACCCTTCTATTGTAATTGAGTTTTGATAGCTGTTGGTACATCAATGGAGGGATTTACTCAGGCTGATCAGCTGCAAGGACTGGTTGTGACCACTGACCATCAACCTCAGACCACCTTGGAGAATCAGTTGTGCAGGGGCCCACCACATAGAGCAAGACTTACTTCAGCAGGGCTCTGGTACCCACTGACTCCACCCCTTGAGTGTGGTTGGGTCTGAAGCTGTCCACCAAGTGTGCTGGCTCTGGGGCCTCCTGGAAGGTGCAGGCCAAGGTCAGCCACTACCTGCATTCTACTGGAGTCTCCAGGCATAAGCTACAAAGCAATCTGCAGATGGCTGCTTCTTGTGCTGGGCTTGGCCCAGGCCAATCTGTGAATCAAAGCTGGCTGCTGCTAGTGCCAGACCTGGGAGCACTTAGCAAGAGGTATGGGGTTTTCTGAGGCCAGATGCTGCTTGTTTGAGAGATTTTAGGAAATTCTGAAGCATAAGCCATGACAGGCCATTCCTGTGGTTAGTCACTGAAAACAGCTTGGGTGGGCCCAAAAGTTGGGTGGGGCAGGGTTTCAGGGAATCACCAGAGCTGGGCAAACAGTGTGAGCCAGGTTGATGGAGTCTCAGATATGGCGCCATCTACTGGTTCTGTGGGAAAGGGGCACATCAAAGAAACAATGGCCTCTACCGGCACTTCTGTCTGGGAGAAAGTTGCCCTTCTAGCTCTCACCCTGATGCCAAACAATTCAGTTCCTCCCCATATGTTTTTGGTGCCTTTCAAGCTGCTGCTCCTATGCTGGAACTCAGAGAGAGTGAGTCTGAGTAAGTCTGTGTGGGGGCCCTTTAAGATAAACTGCCTGGGACTTCAGAAGTCTCAGCCTCCCTCAGCCTTCCTCAGACTCAAGCCCTGCTGGTTTTTACAACCAGAAGTTGTGAAGATTCCTCTTCCTAGTACTAGAACCCTGAGCTGGGGGCCTGGTGAGGGACTGGGACCCCTTGCTCCTCAGGGAGGACCTTCCCAGCTGAGGTGTCCCTCCTGATTTTTATCCTCCACACGTGGGTGTGGGACCGTCCCTTCCAAGTCTCTGCCCCTCTCACCAGTCTCAATGTGGCTTCTTTTTAATTTTGCAATTGTAGGTCTTCCATTCAGCTCAGTGTCAGGTGGTTCTGAATGATGGTTGTTCTGTAGTTTAGTTGTAATCTTGCTGTGGTTGTGGGAGAAGGCGAGGACCACGTTTCCTATACCACCATCTTGACTGGAAATATGAAAGCATTCTTGATACCACTCTTAAATTCATTCTCCCACATGCACCCATCACCAGCTCCTCAAGTCACACCTAACTTAATCCCCAAAGCCCTAAAAGCTTTCCCACGCATGCCACTTCTAAGCCCTGCCTCCCCAAGCACATCCCAGCTCAACCTGGTTCTCCATCCACAGCCTCCCCCAATCTAAGGCAGCAGCACCTGCAACCCTCCTGACTACACACTCTCTTCTTCACCCCTTCACCACCAAGCTGCTCTCCACACCAGTCAGAATGCACTCTGACAACCAGAATGGAACCATGCAATTTTACTGCACGAGGCCCTTTCATACATCATACTCTATGAGGAGCCCCAACTCCTAACTCTGGCTCTACTTAACTCCCCAGCCTCTTCTCTCATGGCTCCATTGACCAGTTCCATTCATGTTACTTCAGTTTCTGCTACATGTCATGCTCCTCTGGCCCCCAGGCCCTCACACATGCTGTTCCCTCAGCCAGAATGCTCTTCCCCATCCTCCAATTCCTATAGCTGCTCCTTCTCTGCCTTCGGGTCTAGGGTCAAGTGTCATTTCCTCTTACAGGGCCCACACACTCACACCCCCGAGTGGTTGTGTCTTGTTCTCCTGTTCTTTGCGTCCTTCATGGGACACTATGCAATTTGAAATTGTGTATTTATTTGAACATTTACTGTATTTTCCATGAGCACAGGGGCCATTTTGTTTTGTTTACACAGCCAACCCAAGGCCAAACACAGAGACACGTGGTAAGTGTTCAATAAATATTTGTTGAGCAAATGAAGGGCCTGGAGAAGAGGTTAAGGCAACACTGAGCTATCCGTGCCTGAGAGAGGGCTGTGGAAACTGTGATCCCACATGTCAGAAGTGAGACTCAGTTTTTAGCAAACGCCAGCACGGTACTTACTGTGTATCAGGCACTGCACTAAGTATTTTCCAAATAGTATTCTGTTGGCCCTCATAACAGCCCTATGAGGTAAGTGCTAGCAAGCTACCCTGTCTTACGATAAAAACAGGGGCCGAGAGAAGCTAAGTAACTCACCCAAGACTCCAGTCATCATAGGGACAGAGCCAGATTTTGAACCAGAGTCCAAGCTCTTGAGCACCTCGGTAGGAGACCAGTGTGTGGAAGCTTCTGGGAATCCCCACCCTGCATCCACAGAAGACTCATTCTCAGTTGGAGGCCAGAGGTGAAGCACCCGCTCCAGAAGCCTGGTGAGCCAGCATGTTAGGAGGGAGTACAGCCTGCACACAGCTGATCTTGGTGACCTCCGGGGCCTGTGCCCCATCTTACACCCTAGCCAAGGCTGCTAGGAGGATACAATAATTGGTGGAGATTAAGGTGCTGACAAAGTTGGAACGTGCTCCTGAACATAAGGTCATGTCATCCCCTAGGCTGGCAGGACTAGAACATCAGTGAGGTCTTCTAGACACAATGAAGATCGAGGGACTCAGCTAGGCAGGTAAACGATTCCTGCTAAATCAACTCTTACTGCCCTTCCGGCCCTTCCTGCCTGCGCTGTGTTCCTGACCTTCCCCAACTCCAGGAGGGAGACAGGAGAGGGAGGCATACAGAGCAGGGAGAGAGCCAACACAAGAAAAGACAGGCTGCTCTTAAAACCACAGTCCAAGTTCCCCTCCTGATTTATGAGGTTTGGTCCATGCTGGGAGCATTGGGATCAAACGGAAACCCTTTGGCACATCCTACAGTGGCTCGGCACAGGCTTGGTTTGGCAGGCAGGTTGCCTCCTCCTGCCCTGGAATTTTCTGGCTAAGGGGCCAGTGCGGCCCAGAGAGAGGGGTCCGGTGCAAGAAGAGCTAATGGCCCCCAACATGTGGAATGGCAAAGACCCTAGAGGTCCCTGGCATTGTGTCAGAGGAGCCAGCAGGGTGGCCCCAGCAGACAGCTGGGTGAGAGAGCCAGCAGGACCCAGCCTGAGGCTCATTTCCGTTATCTGGGTCGCGCTCCCCAGCCTGCCGCCTGCTGCCACTTGCCGCCTGCCACAGGGGCTGTGCATGGTGGGCAGAGATAAGCCCTCTGCCAGAGGCAGGCGCAGAGCCTGGCTGAGCTGTTTAGGTCTCAGGGGATGGTGTGAGAGAGAGCTGTGTGCAGGAGACATCATGTAGCCGCCATCGAAAGGTGATGGGGAGAGGGGGTGGAGATGGCCCCTGAATTCGGAGGGGAAAAAAAGGAGGAGAAGTTAGAGCCCTGGAGAAGAAATAAACACAGAGGGTAGAAAAAGGAAAGAGGAAGGAGGAAAAAGAGCTTTCTGTATCCTCCTCAAGGGCAAAGTAGAGACTCTGGCTTCATCCCAAATTTCATCAAGAAGTGGTGGGTTAGATCTGAGGAAGAAGGGAGACCCTACCTACCTGTACCCACTGGCATCAGTTATTCGAGAGAGGCCTTCCTCAGAAGCTAGGGAGGATGGGGTGGGCACTGAATAAAAGCAGGGAAGTGAGCCTGGGCACCTGCAGAGGTCCTTCTAGGTTGAATTCATGGTTCTCTAAGAGCCAAGGAGAAGACAGGGAGACAAGAACTGGAGGGAGGGGACAGACCTAACATTCACTGGGGGCCGCTGGATCAGGCGGAGTAGGGACTCTGCTGATCTTGCCTCACTCTGGATTCCCGTGCTGGCCCTTTGCAGGTGCTGGACCTCTCTTCCACAGGGGACACTGCAGAGCTGTACACAGCAGAATGGCCATTTAGTGACACAATCAGGATTTGAAGTCAGCTCTGACACAAATGTCTCTTCTTGGGAAAAGGCAGAGGAAGAGTATGCGGGACCTCAGAGGCCAAGCTCAAACGTCCAGATCTGACGTGGAAGAGTGTCCTGTGATCTAGAACAATGTCCAAATCCTGCTTTCAGAGTCCCGCCAAGGTGGGAGCTTGGGCTAGGTGCTCGCCTTTGTATCTCAAAGCCTGGAATGTCTAGTTGGGGACCTGCTTCCTGCCTACTGTATCTTATTCTTAATAATCTTCCTGCCCTGGCCGGTTTGGCTCAGCGGTTAGAGCGTCGGCCTGCGGTCCCGAAAGACCCGGGTTCGGTTCCCACTAAGGGCATGTACCTCGGTTGTAATGTGTTCCCGGCTCTAGTTGGGTCATGCGGGTGGCAGCCACTCGATGTGTCCCTTTCACATCGATGTTTCTCTCTCTCTTCCTCTCTTTCCCTTCCACTCTATCTGAACAAAAAAAAGGAAAAAATCTCCTCAGGTGAGGATAAAAAAAAAATTTTTTTAAATAATCCTCCTTCTCCTTCTGGTATTATGTTCTATTCTGGGTATACACTGTAGGTATGGGGGCCCCTGCCCGCAGCCCACTCAAGAAAGAGAGTAGAGACTGGAAATATGAGAGTAGAGACCGTCTCTAAGTGGGTGTGATTAATTAACGAACCAAATACATACACAACTCTTTATTAAGCCTATCGTGTGCCCAGACTGGTGCTTAATTGGCGATACCAAAGAGAAGGAGGCTCGATCTCCAGCTCAGGGAGCTCCCAGTCTAGTGGGGATGCCACACCCACAAAGCAAGCTTCCCCAGTGTGTGTATCAGATCACTGACACCTCGTACAAAAGCTTAGATGCTTAGCGAGGGCTGCGTGAGCTGAGATCACGGGCATTTGGGCTCATGGTCTTGGTTTTGATGCCTGTGCTTTGGCCCTGTGTGTGCTGGCTACCTCTGACCTTGGGCCGCCTTGCAGAAGTGGTGGTGGGTTGTCTCTGACCATGGCTGGTGGTCTCTGGGGAAATCTGGTGTGGCTCGAACATGGCCAGACAGAAGTGAGAAACGTGAGCATGAGGCAAACAGGGAGCAGTGTGGCACTGAGGAGGGGTGACCACCCCGACAGTGGAAGGGAAGACCCGAGGAGGAAGAGGTCAACGACGAAGAGGTGACGGTGGAGGGCCTTCCTGACAGAGAAGATGAGACTGTGTTACAGGCCTGGAGGAGAGAGAGCGAGAGGCTTGTTCCCGGGATTGCAAATGACTACGTGAGTTGGCTTGAGAGTGAAAGACAGTAGCGAAGGGGTAGGCAAAGCCAACCTCGGGGGGCCCGGCCTTTACCCTGAGAGCAAAAGAGGAGCTTTGCTTCCTGCCCTTGCCCAGAACAGCCCAGCTGCAAATCGTCCCCTTTCCTGCCTACTTCACAAGGCTCCCAGCTGCCTCGGATAAAGTTCCTTCTGCTTAGGCTGGTCAAATGCTGCTCATTCTCCAAAGCCCTGCTGGAATTCCCTTCCCTCCACGAAGCCTCCTTGGACCATCTCACTCCTTCCATCCATCCATCCATCCATCCATCCATCCATCCATCCGCTCACCCATTCAACAAATGTGCATCCAGCTCCTGCCCCGGATCAGGCATTGGCAGTGGACAAGCAGATGTGGTTCTCACCCTCATGTAGCCCATGGGGTACAATGGTTTGGAAACCTCAGTAACGTCTCCTTTTTTGACCTGCGCGAGGTGTGCAGCCAATGAGGCTGTCAAAGGCCCTTCCATAAGCAGTCTCCTCCCTTCTAGACAAACAGTTTCTTGAGACAGACACCAGGTCCCCCCAGCTCTGTATTCTGGGGGTGGCTGGCACAGTGCCGGGCACTTGGGGGTGCTCGGCCCATATTTTAAAGATGTCTGGCTTTCAGCAACATTTAACAAAGCAGAAGGTTCTCCTAGCTGACACCCCCCCCCTTTCCCTTTGCTCCCTGATTCCGGCACGGCTCCTCCGAAGAGAAGAGGCCGGGCAGCTCCAGCTGAACCTTTGGCCCCAGGATGCAGGAACAGCACCGAGAAAGGAGGGCGCAAGAGGGGAGGGAACGCCTGGGCCGGCGGCCAGCCTAACGCCTCGGGCCAAGCTGCGGTTCTTGGTCTCCTGAGTCCTGGAATGCGACAGTGGCTGGCCAGGGCACCTTGGAGTGGCTCCTTCCAAGCCACTAGCTCCCCAGCCTGGACAGAGCCACTCTGGCGGCTCCTCTGGGTCCTCCTCACGGTGCGCTAGTGCCTCACGGTGGACGGAGGGATTGTGTCACACCCTTAGAGAGGGCTCTGAAGCCTCCGCACTCACTGCCACTGTTCCTGCCCTTCCTACCCCGACTCCAGGCCACTCGCCTGGGCTCCTGGGGATTCTGCCTGACAGCGTTGCACACGCATGATCAGAACAGGCTGACCCCCACCCCGACGCTGTCCTCTACATGAGGCACAGACCAGCCCTCTTCTGGTGGGAGCATCCCATTACAGTCTTCAGGACAGAAACAGGCTAATCTGAGGTTAGTCTAAATGGCCACATGGGGGCTGGGGCACACTGTGTAATCCTCCTCCCTTCGGGGCTGGGAGATGGAGCATTGGTGCTGACAGAAACCAAGGCTTCTACCTGCCTGCAGCTCACTGTCTCCGGAGATGCTCCTTTGCTCTGGGCATAGGATGAGGGCAGAGTCGAAGGGGTGGCAGCTGAGAAGCCTTTGAGACTGAGGGTGTGGGCCTGAGGAGGGAGGCTGGGGAGGACGGGTGCTTGGGGCTGAGGCAGAGTCCTGAAATGCTATGGAATGTAGGAACATTCGTGTTTTAAATCTTTCCCAGGCTGTGTGGCTGCTGGGAGGAGATGGGTGTTAACCCTCCAGAAGCCACTGAGTGGTGTCCTATCCCTCCGGGCTCCATGCTGACCCCTCGCCTGCCAGGGCATGACCCTCCTGAAGGGATTGCCACAGCCCCACCAAAGAGGCTGCGCACAGCTAGTGAGAGAGATGCTGCCGTAAAAGGGCGGGGCCAGGAGCAATAACCAAGCCTGGAAGACATCAGGAGGAGACAGGGCCAGAGATAAGGGGCAAAGAGCAGAACAGCTTGGAGAGATCAAAGGGTAAGAATGCTCAGCCTGGGAGGGGGCGGGGGAAGGGAGAGCTCAGCAGCCCAGAGCTGTCAGGGGCTTTTAGACACTTTTCTTCACTGAAGCCTCATGGTAGCAAGGCCTCTCTTACAGGAAACTGAAACTCGGGGAAGGAATTGAAGCAACTTGCTTGTGACCCCACGGCTAAAGTGATGGAGTGGGGACTTGAATCCAGGCGTATCGTTCCAGATGGGGTTTCTATCACCCTTGCAGCAGTTCACCTGAGAGAGGGGGCAGGGCCGGATGAGAGGAGACAAGAGGACTCGAGTTCCAGAGTTCTAGATTCTTAGCACAGAAATCAGGATCCTCTACACCAACTCTGCCTCCAGGTGAAACTGGATTTCAGTCAGAACAATGTCCTGTCTTAATTAGGTAGCCAATTAACTTTGAAGGGAGATAACAGAACCAGCCATCCTCCCACACTTCCTCCCTCCCCTTTCCTTCATCCTTCCCTCTCTCCCTCCTGCTCTCTATCATTGTTTATGGAGCACTTACTGACTGTCAGGCTTGGAACAAAAATGCAGCTCTTCACACACACACACACACACACACACACACACACACACACTCATGATAGTCTTTTTCTCTCTTTTTTTTCCCCTGAGCTCCTCTTCAGAGCCCAGCTAACCTCCTGCTTCTCCCTGCAGCCCCAACTCCCTCGGTTTTGAGACCAGCTCCCCTCGAGAACCACCCAGCCGGGAGCTGCTCCAGGGGCCACAGCCAGAGTGATCAGTGACGCCACAAGCGAACAGGCTTCTATAAGCTCTGAGACTTTGAACTCCTCTCATACATCTGGACACAGCTGGGGCAGCCCAAATTCTCCAGGTCGTAAAGTTGCCCTGACTTCCAAGTCTCGATCAAATGGACAAACGGAGGGGCCTCCGGCCTCTTTCCCTCATAGCCACTGACCAGACACCTCCTACGCACGGAGTCACTACCCACACTTTCCGTTCCTCTCTGCCGTGGAGTCCGGTGCAGCACCTCGAGGGCCATCATTCACCACCAGCCCACGCAGAGCCATGCCATCCAATAAACTCCATCTGGCAAACAAAAACTCAGATTATTTGTGTCCACTCTCAATTACTAGGAAGAGGACAGAGTACATCAAAACAATACTTCTCAAAATCCTGTTTTTCCTCTCCTGTTTATTTTTCTGCATACCAAATGGGATCCTGCACCTCCTTTCCAAAATTCCTGCTGTGGAAACCGCTCCGCTGGCTCTAGCCACGGACCCCTCCTTCGTCTCATCCTCTTCCCTTTCCTCCTGATGCTGGAACACAAGAGCCCAAAGCACAGGGTCTGGAGAGGCCAGACCCTCCCTGGAGAGAGAGGAGGGGAAGAAGGTGACGGGGTAAAGGCCCTCTTCTGTAGGCAGGGGATAGGGCATGGGCTGGAGACATTCCTGCAGTAGTCATTTTCCCCGTCACTGTAGCTTCCGCTGCAGATAGCCCTTCCAGGGCATGCCAAGCCCACTGGGCAGAACAGTTTCCAGACAAAGTGACCATATCAACCTGACTATTCTGGCCAGACCTCCTCTAAATATTTTGTTCCAGTGCCAAGCTCCACTGGGCCACCATTTGTCAATTGCCTCAATGTGCATTTGGGAAAATGTGGCTCACTCTGTCCCACCCTTCCTCTTAGCAACCCTAGCATATCCTGACTGTATTCAATGCCTTCTATATCACTGTAGACCGAATGTTCCTGTCCCCCTTAATTCATGTGTTAAAATCCTAGCCCTCAAAGTAATGGTATTAGGAGGTAGGGCCTTTGGGGGGTGATTAGGGCCTGAGGATGGAGTTCTTATAAAAAAGGCCCCAGCGAACCTCCTTGCCCCTTCTGCCATGTGAGGACAAGGCGAGAAGATGTCTTTAATGAGTCAGGAAGTGGGCTCCTACCAGATATCAAATCATCCAGTAATTTGTTCTTGGACTTCCTAGTTTCCAGAACCATGAGGAATAAATTTTTGTTGTTTATAAGCCACTTGGTCTATGGTACTCTCTTATAGCATCCCCAAAGGA